GGGGGACAGGCAGCGGGGCCGGGGACAGCAGGCAGGGGAGGGATCTGGGTTCTGCTGTCTGCTCTAGACGGCAGATGCTGCTTTGAGAGTGGAGCCTCCCGCAGAGCAGAGTCATCTGTGCATGACGAGCGGGAACAGCAGCCACGGCTCCCCCTGCACCTTCTCTTCACAGCTGGGATCGGAGCGCCCCCCGGCCCAAGGCCTGAGCTCCGAGTGCTTCCCCAGGACTGACCCCCCCCAGATGGCAGCCCCGTGGGGCAGGTAATAGGGTGCATGGCAGCTGCTGCAGCCTGAGCTGGCCTTTCAATGATGGGGACGCGCCCAGAAGCTAGGGTGATGGGCAGTAACTCCTTTCTCTCCCACTGCATTGCTGACCTAGCTGACACGGCGGATCCCTGTGCAGTAGCTGCAGGCCCGAGGGGCGAGGGAGCAGAGGGCCCCTCTCCCCCAGAGACTCTGAGGAGACTCTGAGATGCGTGCTGTACCTAGGTTAATCCCGGCAAGTAACATTCTGCCCACCCAGAATCCCCCTTCAACTTCAGCCAGACCAGCGTTTCCGCCCCTCATCCCACAAGACTGCACGGCGCGCTGCTGCGGGCCGTTACACAGCTGCTGCCCTCCGTCCCAGAGATGGCTGCATCTCCTGTACAAAACAGTGGCAGCACTCCACCCCAGAGGCAGCTGCATCGCAGCCTGGGGTAGACAACCTCTGTGTAAAAAACAGTTGACTGCACGAGGAGGGGGTGGGAGGAGGAATCCTTGTGCAACCGCTGCCTTATTCCGCTCCACTGGTGGCTGCATTTCAGTCACGGGTAAGTGGCCCCTATGTAAACAGCAGTTATATCCCACCCCAGAGACGGCTGCATTTCAGCACAGGGTGATACGATCCCTTTACAGCCCTTATCTTAGCCTCACTGGGAGCAGGGCACTGCACGAGGAGGGGGTGGGAGGAGGAATCCTTGTGCAACCGCTGCCTTATTCCGCTCCACTGGTGGCTGCATTTCAGTCACGGGTAAGTGGCCCCTATGTAAACAGCAGTTATATCCCACCCCAGAGACGGCTGCATTTCAGCACAGGGTGATACGATCCCTTTACAGCCCTTATCTTAGCCTCACTGGGAGCAGGGCACTGGGAGTCTTAATTCAGGGCTCTGAGATCCGGGGGCAAAAGAGGCTAGAGAGGAGTAACGCCACCACCACGTGCCACGACTGATTCCCCCACGGCGGGTGCTGTGCTTGGCACTGGAGAGGGAAATCCCTTCCTGTCCCCCACTCGCCTGTGCCCTGAAGCCTGAGGGTTGCCTCAAGTAAGGTGCTGCAAGCGCCTGGGGTCAGCTCCTGCCCCAGCCGCCCTCCGGCCCTGGTGCGCTCTGTCTTAGGCACCCCCCCGCCCCCGGGAGTCATTTCATTCTCCCGGCTCCTGGCTTACCTCTGGGTTCCTCTGCCTGCTTGGCCAGTTTGCGCAGGGCGGCGGCGAAGCTGGAAGAGGGCGCGGGCGGGACGGACAAGGAGCTGTTGCCCGCCGGGCTGCCATTGGGCACCAGGGCGCCATTGAGAGGAGAAGGGGTGAGGGGGCTGACGGTGGCTGTGTTCCGGGTCGCTGTGGAGAGCATTCCTAGGGAAGGTGACTTTGGCTCATGGCTCATGCCTGAAACAAGGAAAAGAACAATCCAGGTCACCAGGAGCGAAGGCGTCAGGCACCCGAGAGTCGCTAAGCCCCGCCGGGACAGGGGGCAGCCTGGCCCGAAACTGGCCCCCAGGGCAGCCGCCCACCCCGGCCCCCACGCAGGGCTGCCCAGCCGCAGGTCTCAGGGCACGCTGCGAAGTCAGCCTCCCCAAAACTGCCCCCCAGGGCAGCCGCCCCCCCCGGCCCCCACGCAGGGCTGCCCAGCCACAGGTCTCAGGGCACGCTGCGAAGTCAGCCTCCCCTCTGCAGAGGTGGCGGCGAGGGCAGGGAAGGGGAAAGGATTGCCCCAAAGGCAATCGGAATTGAAGCCATGTCTCCCAGCTGCCCAATCTCCAGCCAGGCAGCCCCCGGCAGTTGGGGGGAGGAGGGGAGGGCTCTGCGAGTCTCCTTAAGGGAGCTGCCGACCCCTTTTTTGCAGGGAAGTTTCCCCGTGAGCTAGCCTGGCCTCAGCTGCAGAGGCCCCTGCGCACGCCCCCAGCTCAGTCTAACTGTGTTCGACCACCACAGCTCACCATGCACCTGGGCCGTCTGCCTCCCCGTCTCTCCGGGCGCGTCTCCCACTTGTGTTACCCTCCCCACGCCCCGCTCCGGAGGGGCAGGCCCCCCTGCCACACCGAGCCCAGCAAGGCCCAGCTGACCACGCGCCTGACGCGCCCCCTCCGGTGGAAACCCGTCCCAAACGAGTCCAGGGTCCAAGGAAAGCAAGAGGAGACGGAGGCGCGGCCCTGCCCCAAGGGGAGGCTGGGGGCCAGACCCCAACCAGGACTGTCTCAGGAGGCTCGGGCAGCCCCGATCTGAGCAAGGATCTGGTCGGAAAGGCGCCTTTGGACTTTCGGGCCTGTTCCCGAAATCGCCATTACGGGGGGAATCCAAGGTGACACAAAATAGCTCGCCGGACCTCTGATTTTGCCGCCCCACTAGGATCCGCAAGATCCCTGCGGGAGCAACCAGGCCTCCCCCTTTCCCAACCCAAGAGGATTTCAGCCCACAGCAAGAAAGTCTTTGAAACCCTGGAAAGGCGCCTTTGGACTTTCGGGCCTGTTCCCGAAATCGCCATTACGGGGGGAATCCAAGGTGACACAAAATAGCTCGCCGGACCTCTGATTTTGCCGCCCCACTAGGATCCGCAAGATCCCTGCGGGAGCAACCAGGCCTCCCCCTTTCCCAACCCAAGAGGATTTCAGCCCACAGCAAGAAAGTCTTTGAAACCCTCCCGATGGGACCGGCCGCCCCTCGGCCTGTGGGGGCGCGCGGGAC